CTGTACCGCTCGCACAGCAAAGCACAGTCACCGCAGATTGGTACGCCACCCTGCCTGTCAAAAGTGCTGGAAGTTGTTGCTAGGCGTCGTCCAAGTACTCGAGCACGAGGGACGTTGCCGAACCATGACAACGCACCTGCACAAAGATCCCATGCCTTTGGCGATTTCCTGGCTAGATAACGCATCCAGGAGGTTGATCACCCACCTTAAGGTTGAGACCCGGCTCCGTAGGACATTTTTGCGTTACCAAATATCAGGCGCGTGATGCATCGAATCCGATACGAGCCACCAATTGCTGCAGTGGATGGCCTTTATTGAACTGGTCCAAGGGATTACTCGCTTCGATTTCATTAAATGGTTTGTGCGCATCTAACTGTGTGCATGAACGCTGATAGAGAATATTTCGAGAGAACATATAACGCCTAATTGTGTGTAACAAATAAAACTTCGTGTGCATCCGGAAACCATTTTTTTGGCTCAGCCCTCGCATCATTGCTGCTATGTTGTCACATAAGTAAACCGCAATGGGGAAATGGGAGAGAAAAGAGAGACGAGAACAGTGCTCCGACTGGTATCTCTTGTATTGCATTTTAGCCATAATATGTGCACAACTGTGAACTCCATTTGAAATTGACAAATGAATGACATTTGGAATGAACCGCTGATCGTTGTATGGCACATTCTTCCGACAACATATCTATCTAAGTGCACAATGACGAGTGGATTCGGGATCTATTTTGCCAAATACAGAGACTCACTCGACAACCCATCGGAGCCAATTCACTGTCACAGGCCAACTGAAGCAATTCACCAAGTTGCGTACCCATGAAATGCGGCCAAGTGTAGTCCCCGTACAGGAAGTATTCGGCATACAAAACAGGCAGATTGAGTGAGACCAAATCCGCGTCTAGACTGATCCAACCGAGAGACAAACCGGTTATGCAAATGTGATTGCCTGAAAGACCTCTGGACTCGAGCAAGTATCGTACGTCTTGGGTCTGCATGAGAAAACAGGGACACTAGCAGTACGAAACAATTTCGATCAAGCACATACACACACTATAGATTAACGACTTTTTAAAAACCTCGTCACAAAAGTGCCTGAACGAACAAACGAGGGGCGAATACAACACAGTTCACGACCCGCAATAGAGCAAAACAAAAAGGTCAGGTGGTGACTGACTAATAATTTCCAGTACAGCCTAGGGGTTCGACCTAGGAGGACTAGGACAACAACCTTACTACGATGCTGAGCGGACTTGTCTACTTATTTTATTTTCTAAACCACACCTTCAAAAGCTGCAGTTTGGTCGGAGTAGGTGTCTTCGGTTGTGACCGGACTTCCTTAGCTTGCATTTATCAAAATGCTCCCGTGCAACCAAGCATTCCAAACACTCTTTGATAATAGAGAAAGCCCCGGTCACCACCTTCGTGCTACGGAGGAGTATTCCAACCAAAACGGGGAGTCAACACTGTGGAGCTGTAAACGGATCGATCAAACACCAACAATTCTTTCGGTGGAGTTGTCAAAAACCATCACAAGGGAACTGCATCATAAGGTGGTGTGCGCCTGCCGGATTCCAAGAACCACATAGAACGACTTCTATTGAGCTGAACAATCTTGCCACGCCTGAAACGCTTGATCGCGTGGCTTAAAGCTAACCTCTCAGTCAGTAACCATAAATTGCAAGGCAATCAAAGAGTCGATGAATCACCAAAAACCATTGGTCTCATGATTATTCAATCAGTAATAACTGCATAAAATAATCTTTGCGATAGACTTATGGTTTGTTTTCGGTAGAATATTGCCAAGTTCGATGGACCAAAACAGGTTACTTTTCTGAGGGATTCCCAGTATTGGGCCTTCGGTTAGCCAAAGCCAAAGACAGTGGGGCGATTAGTAAATCCGCAGTTCATTGGGGGCCGGTATTCAACCAATTTTTTCTTTTAAGTTTACTTCCTTTTTATCCGGCTTGCCCCTATTTAATTATCGTGACCCCATAGCTTGTTGTCAACCAAACAATTTGCACACAGACATTCATTCAACATCAGCCTAGGCCTTGTATTATTCTACTGACTAATCGAACTACACATGTAAATGCCTGAAGCGATATACCAAAAGAAAATTTCTTCACGTTTTGACCTTGTTCTTGCTTCCTTTTATTGAATATACAAAGATACAATTTTCAGGAAGGAGGAAGCGGCCAATCAAAGGGCTGCCATTCATCATACAATGGGTTGTGGTGGTGGGATTTGAACACATCCCTGGGGGTGACACTTTGATGACGTTACCACCGGGCCACTACCGCCCGAGCATACACACTATCTGATCGTG